CCACTCAAAATCCAGGTGCCACAGTATCTTGTCAAAGGACCTTTCTGCTCTAAACACCCTTTCCACCTCCCACTTCTCTGCCTCCCACCAACATCCTGACACACTCAACCCCTCCCACATGCCCTTCCACCTTTACTCATCCTGTTCCCTCCATCTGGAATGCCCCTTCCCCCTGCCCAACCCTACCTTCAATCCCAATTCTTTGAAAAGCATCTTGGAACACAGGTTAGATTAGAGTCTAACTTTGATCCTGGCAATTTGACCAGCATGGGGTCAAATTCTGACTCTGCCTCCTGGAGGCACCTGGACCTCAGGCAAGTTGCTGACTGGACACCAAACCTCAGCATCCTCAGCTGTAAAATGGGAATAAGCATGGAATCTATTCCACAGGGTGGCTGTGATTAAAGGACATCAATGAACATAAGTGCTAGGCAGAGTACCTGGCACTAATGCTAGCTTCTCTGCTCTATGTCAAAAGGAACTTAGAACCAAAACCTCAGACAAAATCTGGGAACAGCATTCTATCATTGAGGGCCCCACAGATTAATGGAGCATTCAGATAATAATTCAAGACCCAGGAGTTAACATAGAGAAGATAACCAAGATCCAGTTCCTTCATCAATGAAACACAAAACAGAATTATCCTGCCAGTTGTTGGGCCTAAGATAATGACTCAAGTGCCCAGCACATAACTGGATGCCCACTGGTGCCATGATTATTGCACTGGCATCACCTGGGGCTCATGGTCTAATCTTTCTTGGGTTCCCTCTATTGCTTGGAGAGGCACCTAGAAGAAACATGCTTATTAAAGTGCTTCCCCATTCAACCTAGAAAAGGGGGGCTCAACCCTGTAAGATTTATATACTTACAAGAAGGACTATAGAGCGGGCCTCCATCAGGCACTCACGGTGATGCCCCAGGACAAGGGGCATAAGCAAGCCTGAAGGATCGGCTGCTCTGGGCAAAACCTACAGAAAGAACTCATGAATGAAGAATGCTCTCCTGACTGCTGACCACAGAAAGCCATATAAGCAGAGGCCCAAGGCAACACCGACCTCACTGAAGGACTCATTCAAGCTACAGAGAAATAACAAATAGGGAAGAATTACAGTCAAGACAATGGCCAACAAGGGGAGGCTGTAGCTGCCATCTAGAGTCGTTGAGAAGTTTACAGAAGTGAGAACATTAAAGTTCTAAATATGGTCCTCTGTGCCATTATACACTGTCCACTGCTGCATCCAGTATGCTTGAATTCTTAGATTTTTTTGTGTATAGTATATGCAGATCATGTATGCCACACCTCCTGGAATTTAGGAATTGTCAAGGCTTGTTTTCTAATGAATCCAGATTTTCGCTTTTTGTGTTTTTTTTAGATTCTAGGACTGCATAACATGCAACCCCACTATAGTAGTGCAAGAAATGGCTAATGAATAAATGAGGAGATGGAACTTTCCTTCTTGGATTGTACTTTCACAGAGAGCCTCAAGGCCACCCAGATCTGAGGTCAGGGACTTGCCTGAAGTCAGAGGAGGGAATTAAGACAAAGGACAAAAATAAATTCCCAAGAAGATTTACATTCACAGGTAGGAAAACCTCCCCCAAAATACCCATTCCCCTCCCTTCTTTGCTGCTGCAACTGGGCATGTCAGGCTGGCATGACAATTTAACAGGCCTTATCCCTCTCCCCCAGCATTTCTTTAATGGCCACTCTCACTCCAGGTGCTCAGGCCAAAAACCTTGGTGTTGCCCTCAGCTCTCTTACCCCCAACATCTGGTCCATCAGCCATATCTCCTCAGCCCTACCTCAGAATCCAACACTTCTACCTACCTCCCACCCCCACTCCACCACACAGGTCAGACCCACCACCCTCAGCCTTGCGCTGGCGGGAAGCCCTGTTGTACTGCCCTGCGCTCCCTGCTTTCAGTCTATTTTCACATAACCACAACCAGCACGTCCCTGTTAAAAGCTGTATCAGTTCATGTCCCTTCTCTACTCAAACTCTGCAAAGTTTCCCACCCACCTCAAAGTAAAATATACAGGCTTTGCTACGTGCCTTACATGATCCAACTGCCACTGTCTCTCTGACCTTAAAACCAAATGCTGTCCTCCTCCTGCCTCAGGGCCTTTGTATATGCTGTTTCCTCCACTGGGAATATTCCTCTAGATATCCATTTGCCTGCTTCCTTCACACCTTCAAAGATGATTCAGGCCTTCCTAAAATTTCAGCTCCCATACCAACACCTAACACCCCCAATTCTTCCACTCTTCTTCAGAGCATGAAGTTTCACCGTCTTCCCCCCTGCCCCCGCCAAAGTGTGAGCTCCATGTGGGCAAGGAATGTCCACGCAACTACCAGAGCAGCAAAGACACTACCTGGCACAGTAGGCTCTGAATAAATACATTAAATGTGTAAAAGCCTATGAAAAATATAAGCTGCAAGCAGACCTCAATTATTGGAGAGTCAACAATCTAGAAGATGCGACAGAATGACAGGCTGGAAATGAAGAGGGCCATAAAGAGCACACAGGGAGAGTTTAAATCCTGCAGCAATAATGCACAGCTTAACCTGCAGCAGGAGTTCTCCAGCAAAAGAATAAAAGAAAGCCCAGACAAGTGGCCTTCTTAAGGACAGAATAACTGGAAGAACAGCAAGGAGTTAAAATGAATTAATGAGGTTAGCAGGCACTAGGAACTGGCTACTGTGCTGGGAGCTTTTTATAGGCAAGGCCTGCAAGCAGGTCAGGGAAGGGCTGTAGAATGCTTGAATTTAAAAAGCCTAAGAGGATTAAATAAAAATGTTTTTAAAAAGCTTTCATTTACAAGTACAAAGGACTATATAATTGCAAATTATGACTGTTGACTTCTAATTCCCTTAACCAAAACGGTAAAATTCCTGAAGCTATCATTGGTGCCAGAAATGAGTCCCCAAATGGATCCCAGGTTTGTCTTTAAAGACATAAAAGAGGATGGCAATAACCAGCTCAAGATTCCAAAATCCAACAAACCAGACCGCGGCTCCTTGAGTGCAAAGACAGAGTTTTATTCAACAAATCTGTTCAACAGCAATGTGGCATCAAATTAGCAGATGGACTGACAGAAGACTATTTGAGCTTGCTCCTGGGACACGTAACTCATTTCTACAAATGGTAAGTCCACTAACCTTTGCTACACAAAAGGGATACGCATTGTGGTCTGAAACCTGGCAAAACACTCTATTCTAGCCAGGTACTTCCATAAGCATTTTGGAGACATCCTAAAAGACATTATATCTCAGCTTAATTAACTTTGCCACAATCAGAAAACAACTACCAGGCAACCATGGGGGGCAGGGGATGGAAGCTGGTGATATGAAAGTTCCTTTAATACGTATTTCCTTAAAAAAAAAAAAATTACCCCACATTCCAAGCAAAGAAACCAAAAAGAAATGCCCTGGTATTCAAAGAAAGAAGCCAGTGGCCATTCTGACAAAGGAAATGGTCTAGAAAGCAGACAGCCATGCTCAGGATGTCAGGTGAAAACAGGTAACCAGCTGGGCACACCCATTCACCTCCTTTCCACTAACAGGTGTATCATGAGAGCTTACACTGTGCACACCCACTATGGCTCGTCTTGTGAAAAGTGGTGCCCACAAGCTATTCGATTCTGTATGAGTGAAGAGAGACTAGTAGTAGTTTCACAAGTGAGTGATCCTGATAGAGTCAGCCAAAACCCAGTTCTGAATTCAGGATTTTTGAGCTGAAAGGCCCTTGATAAAGACTCAAACATCTTCAGGGGATAGGCTAGGCAAAGTCATGTACGAAGATGAAAAGGGAGCTGTAGACACGTGGAAATGGTGAGACCACAGCCTAACAGCATTCAAATGCAAAAACAGAGAAACGAAAATGCCCCGCTCCCTACCACCACCACCTTCCAGTCTAGCCTCTGGCTTTAGGGAGGAAAAGACTGGCCTAAGGGAAGTCACGTGGCCAATTAATGACAGCTCAAACCAGACTGTCTCAGTCCCTGCTCCCATGTCCTCGCACATCCCTGGCATTCTGGGCACAAGTATGAACCAAATGTCAACAGGGACAGCATCGTCCCGTTCCCCCCTCCAGCACTGCAAAAATAAAAGTAAAGGTACTGCTCACGCACCAGACCCAGAAATCCCTTATGGGTTACTTTCTTCCACCTGCGATTACCCTCATTTACCCTTTGCCCTGACAATCAAGAATTTCCCGTTAGTCATGCTTAGAACCCCCAGCCTGTAGGCCGAGTTCCTGTCAGCTACCCATCCAAGGGTACAACCAGAGTCAAAGGAAGGAGAAAATTCTGAGCCCTTGAAGTAGTCACACTAGAAAATGTCAACGTCTTTTTCCAGCAAGGTAGCCATATGGGGAACCCTCGACCCCCAGGGGGCAGGCCAGGGAGAAAGGCCCCGAGGTCAGAGCAGCAGCTTCTAAAATTACTTGCCGTAGCCTTCGTAGGAGAAGAGAAAGCAAGTATGTAAAAAACACCCACCACCCCCCTGCACACCTCCCCTCTAGATGGCCCTGAATTCCGGAGGGAGCGAGGATGCTGGCGCGCACCTCCCGGGGGAAGGGCGAGGGGAGAGCGACTCCAGGACGCGCGGGCCGAGGGCCGGGGAGCAGGCGGCAGCGGCCAGCCCGCCCCGGGGGGATCCCACCACCACCCGCTTGCCTGCCCGCGGCGCGGCCTGAGAGTCCGGGCGCGTTGCGGCTCCGCGGCCGGCAGGCTGACTGCCCCGGGGCCCGAGAGGGTCCGGCGGAGCGGCGGCGGCTGGGGGTCTACGGGCATCCACGGGCCCCGCGGCCACGGTGGCGCGCGGGTGCGGGGACCTGGGAGACGGGCCGGGGTGGGGGAGCGCAGGCCGCGCCGCGGGGCCGGTGACAGCACGCGGGGACCATGCCAGGCCGGCCTCGTGGGCGCGGCAGGCACCTCGCGGCCGGTCAGGCAGGTGCGGCCCGCAGGTCGGGCCGGGACGCGGCGTCCCGGCTCTCACCTGACTGCAGCTCGCCGGGCTCCCGTCCTGCCGCCGCGCCTCTGCGCCGCAGTGCCCGCCGCCGCCTCCAGTCCCCGCGACAGCCGCCTGCAAAATGGCGCCGCGGAGGGGCGGGCCGGGGGCGGGGAGCCGCAGAGCCGCCCGCCCCAGAGCCGGCCTGCGGCCCACCTCGGTCTCCGCCCCCGCCCCCCGCCCTGCGGCCTCCCGCCGGGCAGCGGCCGCCTCCCCCCATCCGGGACACCCGCGACGCCTGCCGGGCCTCCGACCCAGCCGCCCCCCGCGGAGCTCTCTGCGCGCCCCGGGTCACGTTCCATTTATTTATCTCCCCTGCGTGGAAATCACCCCTGTCTCGTGCTTTCCTGTCACACCTGCTCCTGGGGACCAACCTGGAATGTGGAGCGCTCGCCGGAGTCTCCCCCTCCCAGTACTCCCTTTTTACCCTGCCTGACATTGAGTCCTGTCACCGCTCCGCGAAGATAATCTGGCAGTTTGCTGGACATTGGGTTCTGTGGGCTGGATTATTCAAGACAATTGCACCCTTCCTCCAGCTAGGCGTCAGGTCCTCTAACTTAACGGAGAGAAAGTCCTCCGTTAGGCAGACACGGTAATGTCCACAGGGTCTGCTCTGCCTTGCTGCCCTGGGGATCGTGTTTAAGCGCGGGTCCTGAATCAGTGGGTCCGGGGTACAGCCTGAGAGTCTGCGTTTCTGAAAAGCCCCCAGGTGATACCTCTCAGTCAGGGCTGTTGAGGGAAAAAGGCTGCAGGTAAACCCGTGGCCCTCAAGCTTCAGTGTCTGGCAGCCTCACCTCCCAGCGCTTCATTAAAGCGCACGCACGTGGCTGGGCCCCTCCTCTGGGCTGTGGAGGCTGGAGGTCTGGAGTAAGGGGCCGGAATTTGCATTTCTGACAAGTTCCAGGGTGTCACTGATGCTGTCTGCAGTTCACAATTAGCCAGCCACAGCTGAAGACTATCTGATACGTGGCCAAAACAAAACGAAAAACTAATAATTGGCACTCTCATAGCACCTTCCATCTTGAATCCACTGTGGAAGTTGCTATTATAACAGAAAAGCTGACTAACTCCCCAAGCAACTCCAGAGAGGGAAAGAATTGGGGAAGGTGCCTGACCTTATGCAGGGAGGAGCAGATTCTATCATCAGAATTTTCTGCCTGTTTTAACAGTTTGGAGGGACTTGGTGATGAGGTATCACACATATAATGAGGTGGGAGGGATGTGACCAGCAAATGTGGGACTTTTATATACTAAGGAGGTGTGGTCTGTGTCTTTGGGAATCAATAATGAGTCAACCTATTGACTTCCCTAATAACTTGTAATTTTAAAATACAAGGGTTGGCTTGTAAAATTCAGTACACAATGAGGTGTTCTGATCCTCATTGAAGAGGGAGAGAAAAGGGATGAAGATTCTGTGACCAGCACCTAAAGAACAATTCACACTGACATTGCCCTGCCATCCTTCTACAACACTGAGAGTGTTGTCCAGCCAACCTTTTGTGTGTGTGTCCTGCTCAGCCAGGGAATCAGATCTGGAATAGAAGAAGGAAGCTAACTTTGGCATCTTCATTGTCTCCCTTTCACTCCCTAGATATTTACAGATTTTCTCTATCCTAAAAAAAATTCCACTGTCCCAGCCTCCCAACCTTACCTCCCCTCTTCCTTCCCCCTCCTCCCCATCCCTCCCTAGGTACTGTCACTCCCTGTTTTCTCAGACATCACCAGTGACTTTCTATTGCCAAATCCAATTGCCTGTTTAGTCCCTTTTTTTTTTGTACAGAGATGGCTCTAACATTCCACGGACTTCCTCCTCCTTGAAACTCTTTTCTAGCCAGAATATCACTGGGTCTTTTTCACCTACACTTCCCCTACTTCCCTCTCATAATGTAAGAGCTGCCCATGTTCAACCCTTAGAAGTGTTAGTTTTCTCTAACATCTTTCCATCTTTTCCCCTGCCCTTAACTTCTCAAGACACCTTTGAAGGTAAGCCATCTCCTGGTGTTTCAGAGCAGACAGACGTCTTTCTGAACTTCTAGACACACATGTCCAACTGTCTCCTAGACAACCTCCCCTGGATATTATCCAGGAATTTTAAATAAGGCATCTCCACTACTCAGCTCATTATTCTCCTCCCACAGACTTGTTATCTGGTTATTCTATCTGGATTTTCTCATTTTGCCACCATAAACTTTGAGTCAACTTTGACGGCTTGTCCCTCAGCCCCCACGTCCAGTCTGTCACCCATGGCCAATTGGACCAAGGAGGTGTATCTGGAATTCTATTCTCTGCATCTACCATCCTAGACCCTCACCCTTTCTTCCTTGCCCTGTTGAAAAAGCTCTCTGGCCTCTTGGCCTCGAGAGTTATCTCCGAAAACCATCCTTGTTATCATCCCAAAACACAGAGCTGACCATCTCACACCCTTCTGGAAATTCTTCAGGGCCTCCCTTCTACAGAATAACCTGGTAAAAAGAAACACTGTTTATTTTCCAGATGTTCAAAGCCCTTCACCATCTAGTCTCCAGCTGCTGCTGCTTTTTTTCTGGACAAAGTACTACTTCTTACTCCTGGCAGAATGGATTGGCGTCAGAGAATGACCCTGACTTTAACCTTGCAGAGTTCTCATGAGGATTAAATGAGACCATTTATATAAAGTGCTTATTCAGTGCTTGAATATGTAGGTGTTCCATCAATGTCCTTATTTTTACGTAATTATTTTTGTCTTCATCATCAATCCAAAAAATACATGAATAGTTTCCTATTTATTTCCTTTTCCTTTTATTTCCCATTCATTTTCCTTTCCTATTACAGCTGATACAAACAGGATCCCCTCCCCCACTTAACTCCTGTAAACTAAGTCAACAGAATAAATGAAGAACATTTCGTGACCTGGATAATTTGATTGAAATTTCTGTCATTTCCAGGCTATGTTATTTTGAGAGGTAATTGTAGCTCGAGGCTATCCCATCTTCATACAGTGCTTTTCTTTACAATATTTATTTCTGATATCTCTCTGGAGTCTATAACTGAGGTCAGCAAACTTTCTGTAAAAAGCTTAATAGTGAAGTTTTAGACTTTGTGGGACACAAGGCAGATCAAGGATATTATTCTTGTATAAGGCCATAAAACATATTTCCACAGTTCTTTATTAATGAAATTCAAAATATAATAAGTAACAACCTAAGGCACAGTCGCAGGGGGGCCATCAGGTGAGAAATTGAGGATCAACAGAGGTGAGGCTCAGAAACCTCACCCCCCCGGTTTTGAGAGAAATCTTCTGCATCCGTGGATGTTCTGCTGCCCTTGTCTAGCTTGGATTAATACTTAGTCCATAGGCACACACCTGATCATCTACAGTTGCCCTCTTACAGCACTAAACTATGTTTTCTACCTTTATCTTGCATCTACCTACCACTTCAGCATTTTATTAAAAATAAAAATAATAATAATAAAGGGAGAAATGTGGGATCCACATATAAATCAAGTATAAAAATCAAACGAATATTCATATTTGACCTGATTGTTTATAGTTCATAATGCGTGATCAAAACCGAAAGTTTCTGTGATGAATGCCCTTGTACTGTTCACCATGTAAGAACTTATTCACTATGTAAGAACTTGTTCGTTATGCTTCAGAAGATTGGAGACTGATGAGAATTAGGCTTGAGATGGATTAATGATTGTACATTGAGCATTGACCGCCCTATACAGAATTTTATTGTTGTTAACAACCATTTGATCAATAAATATGAGAGATGCCCTCTCAAAAAAAAAAGAAAAGTACTTGGCCTTGATACTCAAAAAATATATATATATATAATAAGTAAGTGTGATCTTCTGGTGATACAGTTAATGAGCAGAATGGAATTTGGGGGTGATGGAGAATAAGATTTTGCTTAATTTGAGTTCAAAGTTTGTCTACCATCATCAAATTGATGACAAATGTTATCTGTAAAAACCATGCTTAGCTGGTACAAAAACAGTCCATGGGCCATAGTTTGCTGACCTCCAGCTTAACCATGACTCCTGTCACTTTGCGTCATCTCTTCAGGGTAATTTAGGACAATATAATAGAACTTCAATGATAGAAGAAAGCAAAATAATGGTCATCTCAAGGTCTTTTCTTCTAACTCCGAGAAAGTGCTTGAAGCGGAGGGGAGAACTTCATCCATACATCATCTCTTGGTGTCCGGGGAATTGATGCTTTCTAAATTAGACTCATATTGGGACATGCCTAGGTATGGGGCAACATGGGAGGGCCCAAGAGCTGCCTTAATCGTATCTCTTTTTTTGTGTGGCATGCTCAGTGACGTTCATTGCTGCAATGCTTCAAAGAGGAAGGAAGGAAAGGAGGGAGGAAGGGAGGGAAAGAAAACCCAAATGCCAATCACCTAGGGAATGGCTGAATAAACTGTCCTATAGGCATTAAACAGCTACCATGTAGCACTACCCCTCATGCTCTCTTTTTAATTGAATAATTCACATATCATAATATTCACCATTTGAGAGTGTACAATTGAGTGGTTTTTAGTATATTGGCAAAGCTGTACAGCCATTCCCACTATCTGATTTCAGAGCACTTTCATTACCCCAAAAAGAAATGCTATACCTATTAGCAGTCACCCCTTATTCCCCTCCCTCCAGCCCCTCACAGCACTAATCTATACACCCTTCCTATGGATCTACCTATTCAGATATTTAGTATAAATAAAATCATATGAATGTGGTCCTTTGGGATCAGCTTGTGTTAGTTAGCACAGTGATTTCAAGGTTTACCCACATTGTAGCATGTATCAAAATTTTATTTTCTTTTTTTAGTGTAAAATATGAATAGGTAAAATATAAATATAAATATTTAAGTAAAATATAAATAATATAAAATTTACTTTTTTAACCAATTTGAAGAGTACAATTCAGTGGTATAAAGTGCATTCACGTTGTTTCATAACCATCACCACCACCTATTTCCAGAACTTTATCATCATCCCAAACTGAAACTCTGTACCCATTAAACTCCCTGTGGCCCCCTGGCAACCACTATGCTACTTTCTGTCTGTCTGAATCGGCCTATTCTAGGTACCTACTGTTAGTAGAATCATGCCATATTTGA